CTGCTTGCTTGTAATGGATTTGTACTATCTTCTTCCTTTTGATTTTAGTTTGTGATTAGTTTCCCAAGAAAGTGGATACATTAGACATGAGTAGAAAAACCCATCTTTCGGAAATTCGGTCGTTGATCGATTCGGTCTCTAGAAGCATTGAAACTGTTTCTGCCCAAGAGGTAAAATTTATCTTATCGAGTTTTAAAGTGATCTTGACTGCCTTTTTATTCTGCTCGAGCCGTCGCTATGCAAACAACACCTTTAATTCTGGTGTTTATTTTCAGAATTCGGTGAGAATATTCAAACAAGAAGAAACTAAAACTTCACCTGAAGAAGATTGGTTCGCTGTTGTTCAGGTGAGATCTTTTAACAAAATAAGTATGTGAATCCTGTTATGTTTCAGGCCACATAATATTTTGATCAAGGATTTCATTTGTTGCAAAGTGAAAATTTTCAAAAATGTCTGTCTGGTTAATCAGATACAAATATCAATCAAACAGGACCTTTTTTTTATGTCAACATAACTTGCTTTTCTGCGACGGCATTTAACTTGCTTTTCTGCGACGTATACAGCATGAATCCGGGCATTTTCTGGTTGGTTACTTGCTTGGAGTTCTTCCAAGACACTATGAGATACCAAGTTTGGAAGCTATAAGGCAGAATGCATCAAGCGTGACCGGGAGAGTAGAATTTGTGGGCTTCGAGTTCCTCAGAGAAGTAAGTGGTTTGTTCATCATAGGGAAACCAAATTATTAACTTGTCAATGCCCCAACCACTAGAGTTTATGTTTTTACTGACCAGGTTGGTGCTGCAAATCAGCTTGTTAAACATAATGTGGACAGCCAAATGAATCTATCGGTATGTATTGTTAACAAAACACTCTAATATACTAGAGTGTTCTCTTGAATTGCTAGCTAGACGGGTCATTGGTTATTGGCAGGTTTTTTAAAGTTTTACCAGTTTGATAACAATGAACCCTGATCACAGTTTTACCGGTCCGAGTCAGGTCTTACACTATTGTTGTATTACTACTGTATGTATCTCTACTGTGTGTCTTCCTGAATACTTAATCTTGTACAATGTAGGATCCTCAAGGCAATATCCCATCCAAAGTAAGATTTCCTCAAACTTAACTGTAATGAATGATTTTTTTTAGCTCAAGCTGTTTCTGAAGTGAATGGTTGGAACTGTGAGTGCAGACACTGAACAACTTTTCATGTGTTATACTTGGAGGGATGGTAGCAGAAGAAATACTATTTGGATACTCGGAAGGTTTCTATTCAGATGTTGTCAAGGTTCTTCAACTCTCAAATTTCTTCTAAGATGCAGAGTTGAGATAATAATATTCTAATTGTTTTTGCAGTTGAACAGTGTGCTGCAATGGCTAGGTTTCAGAGAAAAAGAAAAGGAAGCTCATATTAGATGGGCTGCTTCAAACACTGTCTCCTTATTACATTCCTACAGTGAAGCAAGAGTTTCACTTGCACAAGCCATGGCTAATTCCAAACCTATTGGGGCCTGTATTGAAGCCATTGAATCTGCAATATCTACTAGCTAGACCTCACAATACTGAATCCAAACCAAAATTCATTACTCGATTTGCAAACACATGAAACCACAAAACTCTTGTGTCTATTTTACATGCTAAAATTCAACAAGAGAGCACCATCATATAATAAAGAATCAAAACTCCTGAGAAGCAGATCCAATATCACCCTTGTTCTTGCCAACCTTTGCTGGGAGAAGTGTCTGATGAATGTTAGGTAAAACTCCACCATTAGCGATCGTGACACTTCCAAGAAGTTTACTGAGCTCTTCATCGTTCCTCACTGCAAGCTGAATGTGTCTTGGTACAATACGTGTCTTCTTGTTATCCCTTGCTGCGTTTCCAGCGAGCTCCAATACCTATATAAATGGATCAGAATTCCAACGAGACAAAATCATTAACATCGAATCAATCAGTAAACAATAAGAAACTGATTAAAAAGGAGAAGATGATGGTAGCGTACCTCAGCGGCGAGGTACTCGAGGACGGCGGAGAGATAAACCGGAGCTCCGGCACCGACACGCTCGGCGTACTTTCCGGCCTTGAGGAATCTGGCGATCCTTCCAACGGGAAACTGAAGACCGGCCTTGCTCGATCTACTGACGGACTTTGTAGACTTTGGTTTTCCCCTGCCACCGCCTGAGCTCATCTTCTCTCTCTTTCACAAATCGAAACAAAAATCACAAGACAAGAAGATGGGTGGGTGTATTGATTTTTAGGGTTGTGGCCGATTCTGATATACATATATATTGTCTAGAGATGCGTTATGATTGGTAACCATTGAGTCATGCGGATTGCCAGCGTGTCACCATATTTTGACTACTCGCGCCTCGCGG